CCCACTCCAGCATCACCACCCTCTTCTCTGCCTATAACTCCTCTCCTGTCTGCTTCCCAGAGAAAATCTCTAGCAGAGAAATGTAAATTTTAGTTTAAATTCTTATAAATATATATCAAAGCACATAAATTTCAATTTGTATTATCATACATATGTGTTTCACAAAAACTGTCTTTGTACCGATATGCTTTCGTCTTGTTTTAATGAAAGGAATCATTTCAGTCAGTCAGTACAACAAACTGCTTGCTTTATTATTAATTCCTATGTAGAAAATAGCTGTATGAATCAGTGAAATGTATACTTTCTCATCATTTGCATAATGGATAAAATATTAAATGTTTTGTAAAATTAAATGAAATAGGTGTCATAACAGTGAAACTAATCTTTAACTTTTGTTTTGTTTTGTTTTCCACTACTCCTCACCCCATCCTCATCATCAGATGTGCAAGATGCTTTTACTGGGAAAAACGTATTTGTCCTTCTGTCAAAAGTAAATGCATACAAGTTGTTTTACTTTGACATTAATAAAATTGGTCCTGACATAGAACTGGAGAGTCAGGTAGGTACAATGACTATATAGTTTTCAAATATCACAGCTGCTACAGAATTTAACTAATCTTTTTTCTTTTAATACATTTGCAGTCTATTAACGCATTTATGGCTGTCATCGTGAAGGATTACAACAGCCAGAACACAGGACAGGCTGCCTTCATAGACTCATTTGCGATGACAGCAATGTGGCAGGGAAAAAGTCCTAGATTAAAAAAGGTAGATCTTACACATTCCAGAGTGTTTCAGTGTTACTCTTCCAGGTGTTATTTTTATTTTTATTTTTTTTTGTAGATATGTTTATTGATTTTTTTTTGTTTAATAACAACAACAACAACAACAAAACACAAAACAAAACAAAAGCTCAGCAGTGCAGTCCAGAGATAAAAAGAAATATAAGATGGGGGGCATACATACTTCCATCATTGTACAGTACACATCTAAACATTCATAAATGCTCGAGACAGGATGGTAGACACGTGTTCTTCAGCATAGTCCAAGAAGGGCTTCCATATGCGTCCAAAAACGTCAGTCTTAGAGTGGACGAGGCTTGTTAGAAAGTCTAGAGGGATATATTCCAAAACGAGCTTCTTCAACCCAAAAATAGTAGGAGATTTATTAGAAATCCATTGTAATAAAATATTCTTTCGGACACAGAAAATTAGAACATTGTACAACTTACTGTTATTTTGGTTTTGGATATGTTTATTTGGTAGACCAAGGAGAAGAGACACTGGATCAAGATCAATGTTAGTTTTAAAAATTTTCCTAATCTCAGCCAGAATAGATTTCCAGTATATCTGGATCTTGGGGCATGACCAAAGACAGTGTGTGAGGCTGCCTTCATCTATTTTGCATTTTGGGCACAATGAAGAGGACCCCGGTTTAAATTTAGACACTCTGTTTGGGGCCAAGTGAGCTCTATGTATTAGTTTAAGTTGCAATGCCCAGGAGCGATTAAAAATAGTAATTTTTTGGGCAGAATTCCAAATACTGCTCCACATTTCATCAGTGATCTCGATATTCAGCTCTCCTCCCCAGGCCTGGGCCAGAGTTGGTATGTGACATTTATAGCATTTTAATGTTTTGTAGCACATGCTGAGTGACACTTCACGAGTTCCAAAGAACAATTTTTCGATGCCCACAATCTCAGTGTCCCTGATTAGAGTTGTTTCTTTTTTAATAAAGTCTCTTAGCTGGAAGAAACGGAAGAGGTTATTTTTTCCTACTCCAAAGGCTTCCATAACTTGATCAAAAGACATGAGGATCCCCTCCTTAAAAAGACAGCCCAAAGAGGAAACACCCTTAGCCACCCATTCCCCAAAACCTGCATCTAACATACCCGGAAGAAAGTCAGGGTTCTGGACAAAGGGTGTAAATGGGGATGTCTTCCCAGTTCTTCCCTCGATGTGTTGAACCGCCCTCCAGGCCTTGACTGTATTCACAGTGATTGGATTGTAACAGTATTTGTTTATTGTTTTTATATTTTTCAAAAAAAGCAGGCTTTTAAGAGGACAGTCACATAACGAGGCTTCTATATCCAGCCACACTGTGGATGAGTTTCCAGATACCCACTCTCGGGCATATAAAATAAGAGAACTCAATTGGTATTTTCTGAGGTCTGGAAGATCTAAGCCGCCCATGTTTCTTGGTAGCTGTAGTGTTGACATTTTTATGAATGCCCTTCTTTTGGCCCAGATAAAGGAACCAAACCAACTCTTTAATTTTTGGATCCATCTCTGAGTGAACAAAATAGGAATCATCCTAATTGGGTACAACAAGCGAGGGAGAATGTTCATCTTAAGAAGCGAGATTCTGCCCAACCAAGATATGGGAAGATAATTCCAGGTGTTATTAGTATTTTTGAATTGATGAAAAGAAAATATGTTGATGATTATATGTTTTTACAGATTTTTCTGTATCACCTATACAAAAATATAATCTCAGTCCAATGTGTGTGTTACTAAACATGTTTTGTTCTTGATATGAAAAAATCTTTATGTTTTTTTTCATTATTATTCACAGATGAACCCAATGAATTATGAAATAATTCTGGGAATCAACAATCAACACCACCACTGGACTTTAGTGGTAATAAAGGTTTTTTAAACTTTAAAAACAATTTATATCATACTTGTCTCATAGACAAAAACCACCTGAAAACTGTCAAATACACACTTTCTAGGTGATCTACCCACAAGAGAAAAAGTCTTTGTTCTTGAATCCACTGGGGGAATCAAAACAAGACATCCAGAAATGTTTGCAAATCACAAGGTATGGTTAAAAATTGAAGTTTAACTCGAGTATGAAAATCAAATAAAGTTTTTCTTATTAATATATCTATATTTACAGGGCATTTATGAGGAAGAAGGGGTGCAATGTCTCACGTTGGACATGTGACACAGTCAAGCATCCAAAACAACAGGATAGTACATCATGTGGTGTATTTTCACTGAAGGTGCATACATATTGTCACACAGTGTATGACTTTAGGATTTTGATATTTATTTTGAGGCATGTGCAGTGAATTACTTTCTTTGTTACTTCAATTTGAAGCCATTAAATGAAGCTGTTCATTTCAGTTTGCAGAAAAAATCCTATCAAAGGAGGTTGTGGATTTTCCTGTTTCCAATGAGGCGGTCTACAGCATGAGGTTGGAAATTGCTGTGAGACTTATCCTTAACAGTGGTGAGGATAACATTAATATTCTTATTTTCAGTGTTTATGACAATTGTGATCATGATTGCTATTATTTATAGTACAGACCAAACGTTTGGACACACCTTGAATTCAATTAGAAGGTGGGGGCTGCACAGTGGCGCAGTTGGTAGAGCTGTTGCCTTGCAGCAAGAAGGTCCTGGGTTCGATTCCCGGCCCGGGGTCTTTCTGCATGGAGTTTGCATGTTCTCCCTGTGCATGGTGAGTTCTCTCTGGGTTCTCCGGCTTCATCCCACAGTCCAAAAACATGACTGTCAGGTTAATTGGTCTCTCTAAATTCTCCCTAGGTGTGAGTGTGTGTGTGAATGGTTGTTTGTCCTGTCTGTGTTGCGCTGTGACAGACTGGCGACCTGTCCAGGGTGTACCCCGCCTCTCGCCCAGAATGTTAGGTGGAGATAAACACCAGCAACCCTCCTGACCCCATTAGGGACAAAGGGTGATTAGAAAATGGATGGATGGATGGATAGAAGGTGTGTCCAAACTTTTGGTCTGTACTGCATATGTTTTGCTAAGACATCTATACTTAGCCGAAACTTAATACATTAACATGGACTCTGAAAACATTTATTTAAGGAAATAGTTTGTCTACAAATTAAAGTACAATCATTTAATTTTCTATATTTTTTTTTCCAAAAATTACTGTGTTGCACATCCTGTGTTTCATACACACCCACATATATACGGACACAATTGTACATGTATAATTGTGTGTGTCGGTTTGTGTATGTTTTTATACTTTTGTTAACAGATGACCTAAAAGACTTGTGCCACTTCTGTGGAGAGATGGAAAGTGACTCAGATGTGAACTGGGTAGGAAATTTTTTTAGAATTATTCGAAGACTTAGTGTTAGTAAGCTAAATGAAGAGGACACGTTTTATATAATTTTATCTTGTGTAAACAAGCTATATGATCCACCAGCAGTTGGAATATAAGGAAATCTAAAACGATTGATTGTATATTGTAATAGTAAAGACATATTTTTCATAAAAAAAGCATTATATTTTTGGTTTCTTTCCTAGATCCAGTGTGACTTGTGCCTGAGGTGGTTCCATCAGGCATGTGTGGGAAGCCCACCAACTGAAAAAACTTATCACTGCTTTGCGTGTTTGCCTTAGGTTCTTGAGTTTGCTGTGGTGTGCTGGTTTATGTATGTTATATAATGGTTAATAAATTGCATTTTGAAAACTGTTTGATATTTATACTTACTTTGACATAAGGCATCTATGGAAAGATAGTTTAAATCCCAAAGCCCCTTACCTTTGTCAAATAAAGAACAGATGTTTCCAAACTTGCAGTATTTCTTGTTGATGATGAGAGGAATAATCACAGTTAAAGACTTGTTGGTAAGTTAATTTGTTCCCATGTTACAGAGGGGGAACGGATTATTTCAGGTGGCTAAAATATATGGTTCCCCCCTGATAACTTTGTCAAATTTAGAGCAGATGGCACCAAACTTGCAGTATTTCTTGTTGATGATGAGAGGAATAAGCACAGTAAAAGATTTTCTGGTAAG